ATTGAAATTCTCAGTATGTGTGATTTTTATCACACATTTTCTGGCCTACTGTAGAACGTTAAAATTCCTATGTGTGATTTTTATCACACATTTCTGGCCTACTGTAGAATGAACGTTGAAATTCTTAGTATGTGTAATTTTTATCACATTTGTGGCCTACTGTAGAACGTTGCTCATATGACGATTAAATTTTATGTCTGTTCAACATATGCTTTAAAAGTTTTTATTGTTAAAAGTATCATTTTTAGAAAAATAAAAGACAAATCTGTGGCAGAAAGATGCTAACAAATTTTATAATTATTAAATTATTTCTTCTGTTATTACGCATTGACGCATCAGTTCATGCAAAAACAATTATTAGAGAAGTACAGTGATGATGATTTTACTTACCTCTGATTGGTCCAGCAGTAGATCAAAGGATTAAACATTGCATTAGCCATAGCAAGCCAATAGATAGACAGATACAGATGCTGGACAAACTTGGCCTTAACAAAATCTTTGTCGTGGTAGGTGTACAAGAAATAGATGTGATACGGTAACCAGCAAACTCCAAATATAACCACTACACAGGTAAGCATGCGGACAACCTGTTGATTTTGAACAGAAAAATAAAAGAGATTGTTTACTATTATAAGCACGTGCAAAGCGACCGAATTTCAATAACAAGTCATGGTATCATTAGGAATGAAATTTGTATTGGATGCTTAGAAAATCTTGCTCGAGTACCAACATATATTTTACTGGTTAATTTATGCTTGTGGTTTAATTCCAGCTTTACATACAAACTTTGTGTAACAAACTATGAGGGGAGATCCTTAAAGCACTATTAAAATTATTAAGCCCAAGTTTATTCTTAAAAAACGATTTAAGCTATGTTTACTTTTTTGTTGATATCCTGGTTTACTTTTTTTTTAAATCGTGACTTCCTAGCTTACTGTTTAACAAACTACTACATGTATATTAAGTATTAAAAAACATTTAATACATGTTTAGTTTTTTGTTGAAATCCTGGTTTACTTTTTTAAAAAAATGTGAAATCCTAACTTACTGTTCAACAAACTACTACATGTATATTAAGTATTAAAAAACATTTAATCCATGTTTACTCTTTTGTTGAAATCCTGGTTTACTTTTTTTTTAAATGTGAAATCCTAACTTACTGTTCAACAAACTACTACATTTAATCCAGACTTATTGTTCAAAAAATCATTTACTTCAGATTTATTGCTTTTTAAAAACACTATCAAACGAAGATTTAATGTGAAAAAACATTAAACACGGATTTACTTAAAAAACTTTAAAACCTGATTTACTGTTAAGAAAAATATTTCAACTCAAATTATTTGTGAACATTTACATTTTCTCTTACATTATTATTAAGGTTAGCTTACATTTCTCAATATAGTTACTTTATCTTTCCCTCTACATTATCACTAATGTGGGTTTATTTTCGTTAGTACAAATCTTTAACATAGGCTCACTCACTATTATTGACCAAAGTTGCTAACACAAGCTCATTATTACTAGTTAAATTTACTAAAGCAGGTTCATTGTTATTTATCAAAATTGCTAACACACGTTCAATGTTATTAATTCAAATTATGAGAACAAACTCAAAACCCGAGCTTGTAATGTTTTTTTTTAAATCACAAATCGGTCTCATCGTTACCTATACAAATCAATTAATTGAGCTTCTTGTTATTAATTCAAGTCACTTTTTGTGAGTAAACAGTAAAATACAATGTTATTAGTCGAGCATACCACATTATAATATGGAATGAAAAAGGGCGTGCACGTGTGTGTGTGTGTATGGTTCTTTTAATGCGTTTTGCTCACCACGAGTAAACGGAATTAAAATATTAATTAAGTAATGGATAAAATGAAAGTTAAGAGGTAATTATTACATATTCTACAGGGGATATCAACTACAAACCTCCATTATAAAAGCATCACTTTTATAATTTGGTTTGTCTCTGTCCAGGGTTGCTCACGCGGATAATTCCCAGAGACCAAACAAACTTAGTAACACGTAGTAAATCCAAGAACTGATCAGGCCTTACATTTCTTTTTACACCAAAATATGACGTATAGAGAGCCAAATGACGTAATGAAATGTAATTTCCTATCGATATCAGTCAAAACCATATTCTAATGATATCAGTTAAAACCATATTCTAATGATATTAGTTAAAATCATATTCTAATGATATTAGTTAAAATCATATTCTAATGATATTAGTTAAAACCATATTCTAATGATATTAGTTAAAACTTTATTCTAATGATATTAGTTAAAACCATATTCTAATGATATTAGTTAGCACCTTATTATAATGATATTAGTTAAAATGATATTCTAATGATATTAGTTAAAACCATATTCTAATGATATTAGTTAGCACCTTATTATAATGATATTAGTTAAAACTATATGCTAATGATATTAGTTAGAACCATATGCTAATGATATTAGTTAAAATTTTATTCTAATGATATTAGTTAAAACCTTATTCTAATGATATTAGTTAAAACCATATTCTAATGATATTAGTTAGCACCTTATTATAATGATATTAGTTAGAACCATATGCTAATGATATTAGTTAAAATGATATTCTAATGATATTAGTTAAAAACCATATTCTAATGATATTAGTTAGCACCTTATTATAATGATATTAGTTAAAACTATATTCTAATGATATTAGTTAGCATCTTATTATAATGATATTAGTTAAAACTACATTCTAATGATATTAGTTAACACCTTATTATAATGATATTAGTTAAAACTATATGCTAATCATCTATAATCACTTTTGAATTAATATATTTTTTGATGAATATAAAACATTCTTACTCTTCGTTTTGAATTAACGACTTCTGGTTGGACTTGCGCTGACTCATCAGCAAGAGTTTGACGCCAGAGGACTCTAGACATTGAGATATATGCAACAGCCATTGATGTTATTGGAAGTCCATAAGTTAGTAGAAAGAAAGCAATGTTGTACCTGGAATTATGTAAACAAAATATTCAATTGCAGATACATATGTATGTGTGTTTTACCTTTTATAGCATAAGGGTCATACAACAACACCTCTACGTTTTTGACGAATTATTAAATATCTAACAGAGCAGAAGCAGCAAACACACATGCTAGGTGAGAGAGATGTCTGAAGATGTAGTACCCACACAGTAATGGAAATAGACTTAAGATTCATCAGTAACATTCAAATTAAAAATTAATTAAGAATTGAAGATTGTAAAGCAAATTTTATACTACGCTTCAGTCCAGAAAGTTTCAAAAATAAACTGTTCGAAATTTGAAGGAATACGGCTGTTACTAATGAAAGAAGAAAATATAAATAAATCAAATTGACAAAATAAACTTATCCTTTGAAATAGCCACCTAAAGTCTGTTAAAATCGAAATCCCTTTTATCAGGCACGCCAATTCAGGTTTTCTAAAACGTGGAATGGGCTAACGTGGAAGGATTCTAACACAAGAGGTATTAAAGGATGCCTAAATTGAAATAGTTTACTATTTCTGCTCATTACAATCTCTTTAAGTGACGACAGTGCAATGATATATAGTTTATAGTACAAACTACCATCGTTAACAGCGAAATGTAATTAAAGGAACGAGTATTTCTATATAGATGCAGAAGTGAATGAATCACTTCACTCTGATTCACAAGAGCGATTACACCGTACTTGAAGCGACACTTTATGAATCTCTTTTAATTAAGATAATAAGGTTGGTTAATGAGTAGGCTCTGTTTTTATTTAAACTGTTCCAATTAAACCCAAGTTTGATCTCATGTGACAGAATGAATAAAAAATGAAGAATGTAATGACAAATTTAAATATGTAAACAAAGAACAAAGTTTTGTATGCGGGTAAGCATTCTGGATTTTTGTTAACCAACTAAAGCATATTATTGGTATGACATTTGTTTTATTTACTTTGATGTTGTACCATTATAAGAAGCCTAACTTTATTTATTTAGTTTGCTGACTCAAGCTGTGCTAATGGTCCTAGAATAGGCGAAACTGCAGTTTACAGCAGAGTGTACGGTCAATCAAGGAATGCATTAGGTCTTATTTCACATATGTTACTTCGTCTCAATTAGTGTGGAGTTTAGGGAAGTAAACCCGTCTATTTCACATAAAATAAATTGTACATTTGTTGTTACTTTTCTATTTAAAGTTACACAATAATAATCTCAAGCAATTGTGAAAAGCTTTAACTTTCTATCTTTTGCAATCCGTAATTGAATAATTAAGAAGGATACGAAAAAAAATAAAACATGGTTTCTACCTCCTATATTCACAAGAAGCCCCGAGTGGGGGAGTAAGAGTAATAGATGCAGCATAGTATACAACTATGTATATACATAGATGCAACATAGTATACAACTATGTATATACATAGATGCAACATAGTATACAACTATGTATATACATAGATGCAACATAGTATACAACTATGTATATACATAGATGCAACATAGTATACAACTATGTATATACATAGATGCAACATAGTATACAACTATGTATATACATAGATGCAACATAGTATACAACTATGTATATACATAGATGCAACACAGTATAAATTATTCTGCACATCCCTAACTACATGTGACGCGACCAACATTACAAAATCAACTTTCAAAAAAAAAAAACAATTTCCAATTATTCAAAATAATGTTTTCGTTTTTCAACAATTGCTAATCAATCTCTAATATTTACTCCAATCTTATAATTAATCTGATTAAAACTATTTTTAATTATTCTTTAATATTTAATTAATCATTTTGATCAATATTAATAAAAAATTTATATTAATTTCCTAGTATTTAATTTATCATTGTAACCAATATGATTATCTTCCGATGGGACAGCAGTAAGTTTACGGACTTACAACACTAAAACCACGGTTAGATTCTCCGCAGCGGACACAGCAGATAGTGCAATGTGGCTTTGCACTTAAACAAACCACCACCGACAACAAGAACAATCTGATTCAAACAATTTATAATAATTCTTTTATATTTAAGTCATCATTGTAATCGATCTGATTCAAACAATTTCTAATAATTCTCTAATACTTAATTCATCATTGTAACTATTAGGTCAGTGACCTAAGACAGAAGACTTTCGAAACGTCGTCCTCTACACTTGTGTTTCTACAACAGGCAGTTGCCATCCATTCAACTAAGTTTCATCATGAATACTCTGCCTAAACAATCTATCAAATAATACTTCAAGATCTCTTCTGTTTTTTTCATACATATCACGTGCGTGTGTGAGGTGGTGACGTCAGACAGTTTATAAACGACTGATATATCATTCGATTTAAGGGAGCATTAGTATCGAAATAAAACAATAAAGAAGAATAGACATTCACGCGAAATATAATATTTAGTACATAAACCAGGCAAATAGTTAAAGCAGAAGTAAAATACAAAAACAATGTTGTGGTTACCGCCACCTAGTGGAACATAGAGGCATGACATTTTTATCTTCATGAAATTTTAATTTTGCAAGTATAATTTTCCTCCGTCTTCTCACCGAAAAAGAAAATAACTGCCAAGTTTTAACTCTTTAACTATTTGCTGTATGAATTTTCTAAAGTTTATTTGACTCAATAAACTAGTCCAAAAGTTGAAATGCTAATGTAACTGAAATTATGTTACTTCTAGTATTTTATTGCACCAAACAGCCAACTATTTTCTTCGCAATGAATGGCAGTTTTGATTTTTACACATTTTAAAAAGGTATTTGGCTTCATTCAACACACTTACTGGATAGTTGGTAAAGTTTTGCATTCATGCTCTCGTAGTTAGTTTTACTTTTATTTTTAAGGGGATGAGGAATAATAATAATGCATGTTGTAGCACACTACCCGAAGATCAGAACAGAAACATAAGCAACAGGTGATGGAACAGTTGCGACGAGAACAACAAAAGTAATTTATTTTTCTGAAACTTTCGTTCATCTTCATAAACTGTTTTGCTCATACATCTGAAGACAACTTTCTCTGATGATTTTTTACATTTATCAAAAACATTTCGTTTCTTGTCACAGCTTTGTTTTTATCAAATAAATTCAGTTATGTAAAATGTAATAAAACGAAAATAAATCAACTGACTCGAACTTATAAGATATTTCTAGTATTGTTAAGCCTAAATCCCATAATGTTCCTATATACTCACGCATAATCCGAAACCGAAGTTCCTGGAGGGCCGTCTGGCCAGATAAGAATACACAGCGTCCTCAGAGTTCCGTCCTGATAAGTGTACGTTATTGTGGTTGAGTACAGTAGCGTTGGTAAGGACAAAAGAGCTCCACTTAACCAAACTCCTAAAATAACAATAATTGCAATCTTTTTCGTCATTCTCGGTAACAAAGGACGCAGCGTGACAACATACCTGAAAGAACAGATGAGGAATATATTTAACCACAGCTACTAATGTTTTGATACTCAGTGTTATACACCGTCTAAGCAATAGAACCTCGAGAATTTAAATCAGCTACATTGGTTTTTCTCTATCTAATCACTATATATATGTAATTAATATTTAACATTATCAAGAGTTTGTAGGTTATAACGACTTTTTGTATTATGCAAATCCATACAATAAATATACTTCAGAGTGTAATATTTGTCTTCTTAATGAAAGTGTAAGAATTAAAATATTTTTTCTTACATTCTTTGTATGCATTAGCTAGTTCCTAGTTTAAGTTTAAAACGGTAGCCGATTAGTTTAAGTTTAAAACAGTAGCTGGTTCTTAGTTTCAGTTTAAAACAGTAAATGTTTCTTAGTTTAAGTTTGAAACAGTAGCTAGTTCTTAGTTTCAGTTTAAAACAGTAGCTGGTTTTTAGTTTCAGTTTAAAACAGTAGCTGGTTCCTAGTTTAAGTTTAAAACAGTAGCTGGTTCTTAGTTTAAATTCAAAACAGTAGCTGGTTCTTAGTTTAAATTCAAAACAGTAGCTGGTTCTTACTTTCAGTTTAAAGCAGTAACTGGTTCTAAGTTTAAGTTTAAAACAGTAACTGGTTCTAAGTTTATGTTTAAAACAATAGCTGGTTCTTGGTTTCATTGTAAAACAGTAGCTGGTTCTTGGTTTAAATTTAAAACAGTAGCTGGTTCTTGATTTCAATTTAAAACAGTAGTTAGTTCTTAGTTTCAATTTAAAACAGTAGCTGGTTCTTAGTTTAAGTTGAAAACAGTAGCTGGTTCTTAGTTTCAATGTAAAACAGTAGCTGGTTCTTAGTTTCAATGTAAAACAGTATCTGGTTCTTAGTTTAAGTTTAAAAAATTAAGAGATCTACCTTACACGTTCATAACAATATCTATCACATGATAATATGTTCATAGTTTCGTAACAAAGCTATATAGAACGATTGCAGAAGCCATTCGGTACTAAGGGAAGATGACATACCAGGGGAGTAAAGATCCTGCCTACTGAGTCAGACAAAAGGTTTGTTTGTTTGTTTGGAATTAAGCACAAAGCTACACAATGGGCTATCTGTGCTCTGCCCACCACGGGTATCGAAACCCAGTTTTTAGCGTTGTAAGTCCGCAGACATACCGCTGTGCCACTGGGGGGCAGACAAAAGGACAAATGCAACAAGACGAAAGGGAATACAACCATATCAAATAAGTACATAAAAGCGTCCAAAACATAGAAAGATATACCTGTAACTTCAAAGCATTATATAAAGGAGAAAAAAAAAACATTCATACAAAACATATGTTCACTAAGATGTTGGAAAATATATTCTACAAAAAGTTCTAATATAACAAAAATCACAATACAGACATTACTTGTTTTGCCCCCCAGTGGTACGTCTGCGGACTTACAGTGCTAGAAACCGGGTTTAGATACCCGTGGTGGGCAGAGCACAGATAGCCTATCGTGTAGCTTTATGCTTGATTACAAACAAACAAATTATTTGATTTATTCTTTCACTTAGAAAAGTTTCACACTTAGGACTTACTATTGTAATTCTTCACACTTTAAGATTGAGTACAATAATTCAATGTCCACAACTACAAGTAAGTTATAGAATTTTCTCACACTTCTTATCGTGCATCGTTTAGTATTTCTGTTCTTGTACGTTATCGTGTTACACTTCCCTCTACGGTTCGGCATGGCCAGGTGGTTAGGGCGCTTGACTCGCAATCTGAAGGTCGCGGTTTCGAATCCCTATCAAACCGAATATGCTCGCCCTTTCAGCCGTGGGGCGTTATAATGTGATGGTCAATCCCAATATTCGTTGGCAAAAGAGTAGCCCAAGAGTTGGCGGTGGGTGGTGATGACTAGCTGCCTTCCCTCTAGCCTTTCACTGCTAAATTAGGGACGGCTAGCGCAGATGGCCCTCGTGTAGTTTGCGCGAAATTCAAACCAAGTTTCCTCTACGACATTTGTTTACAGGAGGACGATATAAACTCTCAATCAATGTGTTTGTGTGTCTTTGTTATAGCAAAGCCACATGGGGCTATCTTCTGTGTCTACCGAGGGCAATCGAACCCCTGATTTTAGAGTTGTAAATCCTTAGACTTAACGGTGTCCCAGCGGAGGACTCTCGCTAACAAAACGCATTTCTTTTGGAATAGATATATAGTTGCCGACTTTATATCCGTGTTTCTTCGTCCATGGGGTTTTGCTAATACAGGAACACCACTACTCAGAATTTGAAGACCAATGTTAATGTAATATGAATTTCATGTCCAGCGTTCTATTGGGATACTTTTGCTTGAATGGAATACGCTTCAACTTTTGATTAAAAAAATCGGCACGTTCATTTTTAGGTACTTATTATACATGAGAATGGTTGTAGAATGCGATGTAAGTTTTCTTTGATATCTTATTTTTTGTTTTCGACATACAAGCTACATAGGGCGAGATATTTTAACACGACTATCATTAGATATAGCAAATTATTAATATACTTTAATTATTAATGCTTCTAAAGATGATTCCGAAGTATTCATATTTCTGGTTTAAACAAGTTTTCCTAGCGACAAAACATGAAATAAACTACTAAGATATGTAACATTAGATTTAATAAATATATAATATGTTTGTGTATCGTGTGCAAATGTTTATATATAAATAGGGAGAATTAGAGAAAAAATAATTAATTATGTAAAAAATACATTTTAAACTAAAGCTGAAACTATGTTAGACGTTACTAAGATATCCCAGAATCTTTTGTAAGGTGAGACAAGGTTATATAGAAAGCTTCTTATAGTGTCTTAATAGAGTGCTAGATTGAACTTGTTATCATTTTTATATCTTTCTCATTCTCAAATCCTTAAGACTTCAAGTAAAAACAATATGTGTATACTAATAAAGAAACGTTGTTTTTTAGCTTTATAAACAATTAAATTACTATTAATACAAAATTCGTCATTTTTAGGGGATTAGGCTTTTCTGAACTTACCAGCATTTCGATTTTTTAAAATGCTTTCAAGTAAATCAAACTAATATACACGTCGGAGTGACTGCTTACCTTTCCGCCCCCAGTGTAAGTCTGCGGGCTTACAATACTAGAAACCGAGTTTCGATAACCGTGGTGGACAGAGCATAGATAGCCCATTGTGTAGCTTTGTGATTAACTTCAAACAAACAAACAAAGTTTTTTAAAGCTTACCTTTCCAAACTCACTGCCATTATAGTGAGAACAGAAGAGGACACAGTCAGGTAAGCAACGAAGTTGTTGATGATGCAATACAGGTGACCGAACGGCCAGTGGCTATCTAGCATAAAAATAAAATTAAAAATAGTGTTGAATAAAGTCATAGCAAAATCAGCTGCCGATAGGTTCAACAGAAAATAATTAGTTACAGTTTTCATTCTTCTGTGTGCCAACACAATCCAGATCGTAATGGCATTTCCAACCAACGCAACCAGAATCATTAAACCAAATACAATACTCCAGAGCATCTGTTGCCACCAGAATAAAACAAACGGGCGAGTGGAAACTTCAGTGGTAGATGCTTTATCGAAACACAACCTTAAAAGCTGGATTCTTTCAGTAGCTGTCCAATTTTGATCTATTTCAAAGATACCTTTATCCCATAACTCCATACAATCAGAAAGGTTTTTCAGGATCAACTCGTGCATGTCTGTAAAGTTGTACCGGTAAGACATTTCTTTATCGTTTTCAACGTACGATTGGTTTTCATTGTCACCAATAACATTTAAAAGTTTTGTCGAGTTAGTTTTCATTTTATTTTATTCTTTATCCTCAAACCTTGTTTCTGAATCTAACAATCAATAAATCGAACACTTAGAAACGTAAAGAGATTATAATTTACTGATATAGGCACTCAGTTGATGTGGAATTGAAGCAGCGCTGCTTCTTCGTCCAAGAGTAGAGCAGATTTGCGGGCGATTACGCGTCACACTCATAAAATTCTGAACTGTGAATAATAAATCAGAGAGGAAAGGAAAAATCTCGAATATCTTTCATGCTTTTAGTAGTTTCTAAACAAAAACTCTTCTTCCTCCCGGAAAACATTGATAAGAACCACCTTTCATTCTACAAATGATCTCACAGCGGTTAACGCTCAAGTCTCTTTCCTGATTGGTTGAAAAGAAACAGCGCTTTACCTTACACTGGAAATAGCGCGGTCTGATTCGCGCACGCACTAAGCACACATGTTTGAGAAGAACATTCATCTAAGTGAGTAAATGTAGAAATTTATGACAAACGCAGACGTATATGTGTAGAGCATTCAGTCCTTAAATTGCAAATATGAAAGGTTGATTGATAATTTATTGTTTAATAGTTACTACTTAGATTGAATTATTAAAATAATTACATTGGTTGTACTCCAGTCCGTTCTATATCATCTTTAAAGCTTCCTCACTCACAGGACTCAAGTTAATATCTTCTTAAAAAGGTGCTACCTACCTCTAGAACTTTCAAACTTTATAACTTCCAGATTGTGGTGTCAGTACATTAACGCGTCGTCATCTTAGTGTTATATCTTGATAACGCTCAAATATAACGAGAAAAAAATAATAAAGGTTAAGTTGGAAGTTAAGCACAGAGCTACACAATGGGCTATCTGTGCTCTGCCCACCACGGGTATCGAAATCCGCAGACATACCGCTGTGCCACTGGGGGACAAAATAATAAAGAAAAAAAAAGAGATAAGGATCTGTAAGATGAAACTTGTACCTGCAATTGATGGCAGACAAATCAATGTTTACTATGGAAGTTGAATCACCTGCAATTGATGGCAGACAAATTAATGTTTACTATGGAAGTTAATTCACCTGCAATTGATGGCAGACAAATTAATGTTTACTATGGAAGTTAATTCACCTGCAATTGATGGCAGACAAATTAATGTTTACTATGGAAGTTAATTCACCTGCAATTGATGGCAGACAAATTAATGTTTACTATGGAAGTTAATTCACCTGCAATTAATGGCAGACAAATTAATGTTTATTATGGAAGTTAATTCACCTGCAATTAATGGCAGACAAATTAATATTTACTATGGAAGTTAATTCACCTGCAATTGATGGCAGACAAATTAATGTTTACTATGGAAGTTAATTCACCTGCAATTGATGGCAGACAAATTAATGTTTACTATGGAAGTTAATTCACCTGCAATCGAACTACCATAAAACATACATGCAGAATTAAAATTTGTTTTCTGTATGTCTCAGATCTTATATACGTAGCCCTACTTATGCAATGTTTCTCGTTGATTTTTTTCTTTGCATTCATTTATTTTCTAAGTACCACATTTAAATAACTGGTTTTTCAGTATGTTGTTTACCAATCTATAGTAAATACTAAAATGTTGCATTGTTTAAAGATGGCACTGCCTATTTTGTCTTTAAAATCATTGTTTGAACAAAGTTGTCAAGATCTATCTTTCGTCACATTTCGAACTTTGTAAATCTTAGTATTTAGTGATGAAAATGTACAAGATGCAAAGGATAACGATTAAACAAATTGGCACATTCCTTATGTACAACCCACGTATCAGCCAATGAAATCTCAACTTATTCAGTAGAGACAGACATTTAGTTACATATTAGATAATATATTAGTCAATTAAGTCGAGACAAACGTAGCCATGAGACCAATAATATTTTGCCACATGGCTAACTAAGTGGTTTCTAGAGATCATCGCTGCCATATGAAAAATTACTGATGTATCGTATGACACGTGATGTGTGAACAAAAGAAAAAAAACAATGTATTAGGACCACGTAATAGTGAACAAAAGATACGAAAATTCCAAATGGAGGCGATGACATTAAGAATATTATAAGATTATTCTATATGCCGTGTGTCTGATAATTACCTACCCACCCCCAGATTACAGTAAAACTGACAGAAATGAGCCTTGTTACGCCCTCTTCCGGCGCATCGTAAAGCAAAGCAAACTGTTCAAGTCTTAAGTTTTTAAGACTGAATGTCACGTCAACGGTAAATTTGTTAGAGTGTACTTAGCCGACTGTTGTACCACTTAATCCACGAACCGAAGTACTTATGCACGGTATTGTCATCCCTTATGGGAACCAAGTGTAGCAAAAGTCAAGTGGAAAGAAAAGTCTCTTGACTTACAACGCTAAAATCCCGGGTTCAGTTCTCCGCGGTGGACACAGCAGATAACCCAATGTGGCTTTACTCTAAAACAAACAAACAAACGGAGTTTTGTGTATAGTTCTTCAGTTGGAAAATACTTTTACTGTACTGGGCGAAAGGCCGTGTTGGTATGTGATATAGCAGCTATATTGTGGTTGACATATTATTGTAAATTTTTTACTTTCATTCAGAAGACTAGATAGCCGAGCCTTTAGTTCTTTTGAATAACCACCAGGTTAATTAAAAATAATTATGAGTAATCAATGGTGTTAATATAAATAAATAATATAGCGTTAAGTAATCCTTATTCTCATTCTTTTGTATTGTGACATAAGTAAAAGTTAATAAAACACACTTCCTCCACTTCATCCAGATCCTACCATAAAAAGTTGTTGTTCAAGCAATTTGCTAATACAAGTAGTGTCTCAACGACTACTACGTCTATTGTATTCAACAGACCTCAAAATATATTAATTAACCACAACCAAATATACCATAAAAAACTAAGCAAACTATTCAAAACACTTTTTAAAGAAAAACTATTACGTTTAAACTTTCATAACATTTTGCATACAAACCAAGATTACTATAAATATACGGGCTACCGAAAGTCCATAAAAACAAATACCTTACGCCCAATTATGTTTTCATCCAACCCTTTAAACCACAACCTTCGTGAATACTTAAACTGGAATTTGAAACCTTATTTTCCCAAAATAAACACTTAGATAAAAAACATCTGGCACTTTCCACAACACTTTCATTGCTTAAACAGTAACATCATTATGTGTAGCTTTGCTATAATACGTACATTCCCTCAAACGTTTTGTTATAAGTCAGTACAACTTAGTGTGGAAATTATTTTACACACACCCAATAGAAGAACCAACATAAAAGAGGAACATCTAACTAATCGAACTGTTACATCTAGCTAGTTTTATTTGCTTCCAGTACGGAGATTCGCACTTCCAACAGTTATATGGGAAATCCGTTATCAGATACCTTAAACACTCTTTTTTACACCGTACACAACAATATGCCATAGTCAATTTCTTGCATTATCCTTCATCTAGGCTTAGATATGTAGATTACGTTTTTTTGTGATTTTACTTATCAAGAACAAACAAAAAATTCTTCCGACGCATAAACAACCTACACAAAGACATACAATTTAAAGTTGAAAATGAAAACAACACCACAGTAAAATTTCTAAATCAGAAACTATACACTCTGAAAAACATACACTAAATGCACCACAGAAAACATCGATCAAGAAGTTATAAACTTAATTCAATGATTCATTAATTCCCTATCACAATAGTTACACACACACTGTTAACGGATTAAAAAACAACAACAGACAAGACATTTTTAACAAACAAACAATTTCATAAAACACTCAACAAAACGAATGAAGCCTGATCACTGACACTATCCCATATATAGAAAACATTAGTATGTCAATATAGGCTTAACATAAGAACTGGATTAATTTACATCCTTGGAATTCAAATTAAAAACACGTAAAGAAAATTATATAACTAATCCAGAAGACATTTACAAAACACACTGTAGTAATTGCCTAGCCTTTGAACAGAAACAACCCTAGTTTTCCGAACAGAATGTTGTCGTATTAAAACATGAACTTGACCTTAACAGTCTTATTAATAAAATCAAACAATCCCACAATCAACAAACACCCAGACACGACTCTATGCGTTTTTGATCATTATTTCTCTAAACTTATACAAATCTTTTGACAACATGTTCCACGTATTAAAATTTATATATATAAATGTATAATCTGTTAATTAACGTGTATTGATATGCACATGTACAAGTAACCACTATCAATTCTTTGATTTAAATATATGATTATATTGTTGAATGGTGATTTAAGTATAAAAACCTTTCTTTACCGTTAAAACATGTGTACTTGAGTATGATCGCACCAGCAATCTAAAAGTTGTAGCTATCTAAATAAAAATTCTTCTTTGCTCTAAAAGTTACAACTTGTAAAAATAAAAGAGTAATACTTAGCTTTTTTCTACCGAAATTCTTTCCCAAACGGAATTATGTTATTTAATATTCTAAGAATTATTCATCAACTTATAATAAAAACGTTTGGAACTTCTAGAAATAGTTTCTTAATTGAGTTTTTATTATTTTTTTCACGAAGAGTTTTCACATCTTCAACTATGCCGTTTTCATAAGTAAACCTGAATGTCTGGTTATAAGTACAGAGTATCTCTGATATTCTGTTATAACCTGTGAAGAATTTTACAGAATTTCGACTATTTTTATCAAATTCTTATCTTTTTTGAGTATGCTTACTGAAATAATATTTTTTCTTTTACGCAAATTTTGCTTTTTTGATGTTTGAAAAAAAACGATCATTATTCTGTTTTGGACAGACGTAATATCAACTAAACACAAAAACAATATTGGACGAAAAGTTGACATAGTACCGTAAAACCATTAACGCTTTCCGAGTCAATTGCTCAGAGGTAAGCGTCAGTGGTAATAAAGC